ACAAGTACCTAATAACAAAATTGTTTGCATTCATTCGCCTAATTTTCTCTAATGATGGTGCTAAAGATAAGAAATTGCAAAGATACAGAATGTACTGTAATAATTTTAGAATACTTATCACATTTGGGTGGGTGCACCCCAAATTATTAGCAGTGTCTCACTGTGTTTCGTATTAATTATCGCTGAAAGCCAGTGCTGCACTGCCCTTGTGTCCAGTGGAGGTGGCATTTTTTGCTTTTTTTTGGGGGGGAGAGACAACCCGATTCTTTTTGAGGGGTATGTGATAGCTCATAGTCCATTATATATAGGACAGTACGTATGTTCCTTGTGTATGGTAGTCTCATGTTTTTCTATCAAACTATAATCAAATAGAATAATTGTACACAAGCATTGTGTAGATAAAATATATATTTAAAAAGTTGTCTCTGTTAGACGTTTCAACCAGGTTGCTACGACCTGACTGCTGAAGGCCATACGCATATATACTAAAATAAAATGCTAGAGTGCTAAATTTTCAAGGGAGCAAATTAGGAGGGGGGGATAAATATTAGGTGACAGATGCCCAACCCCCCTACCCCCTTGATGCCGCCACTGGTCGTGTCCAATTCACCCTGTTCTATTATTAGAGGGGAGAGTCGAAAAAAGGACAGATGTTTCAATGGTAAATGGCTTACAACTTGGCCTTGGTTGCAGTACCACAGAGGAAAGCAAACTGCATTTTGTTACATCTGCTCATCAAATCAAAAGGAAGGAGGTCATGATCCCAAAGCAACATTCATTTATAAAGATGAAACATCAGATGGATTTTCGTCATGGAACAAAGGCCCTGAACGCTTTAACATGCACCAGTTATCTGATTACCATAGGCAGTGTAAGACAAATGAGTTGTTAAAAGAAAAGGAAAAGATACCGCAGCTTCTTAGTGATGAAGAATGCAGAAATAATAAATTACGGCAAGAGGGGCTAGAAGCCCATTTTGGGACCCTAAAAACACTCCTTCGACAAGGTTTAGCCATTCGACGCCAGGAAGATAAAGAAAGCAATGTCTACCAGTTTAATAAAGATAAGAGTCAACATATTCCTGGGCTAAAATTATTAATGAAAGAGAACAGGTTTTTGTCTCACAGCTTGCTTGCAGAGCAACAGGAAATGCTTGTACTCGAGGCTAGACGAGCACTAAACATGGAGCTCCAATGTGCCAAATACTATGTCATCATTGTAGATGAGGCCACAGACATCTCAAAGTCAGAACACATGTCCTTATAAGTCCGTCACTGTACTGAAGAGTATGAAGTAAAAGAAGATTTTATTGGCATTTATGAATGCAGGGAAGGTGTAACAACAGATGCTCTGTTTGAATACATCAGAGATATCTTAATAAGGTGTCAACTGGATGTGATAAGATTAGTTGGAATGACATTTGATGGTGCAATGGCCATGAAATCACTGGCAAGGAAAATCAAAAGTGAAATGAACGAATCAGCCATATTCATTCACTGTTTAGCGCATTGCCAAGAACTGATCTTCAAAGATGCCACCAAGCATTGCCCAGCATTGGAGGACGCTCAGACACTATGTGAAGATCTGTATGTTGTTGTAGGGATCAGCCCTAAACGTGTGGCTCTATTTGCCAAGATCCAGGATGAGATTGACAGTGATGATGTGTTGCGCCTCCAGAACCTCTCAAGGACTAGGTGGACAACAAGAGGGGCTGCAGGAAACGTTATAACTTTAAAGCATGCAGAACTATTAGCAACTTTAAAGATTATTTCCGAGGACAAAAATACTGATAGCAAATGCAAAGCCAAAGCAAAGGGGCTTCTCATGAAACTGGAAACCGCCAAGCACATGTTTAATATGTTTCTTATGAGAGATCTGGCACACATTCTGTAAATGAACTCAAAAAATCTACAGAAAAATGATGTCACGGCGGAAGAAGCAATGGACTGCATCAACAAGATTGAAATAAGGCTAGCGGAGATGAGATCCAGTGCTCAAGAATTTGAAAAGGTAGTACAAAGTTTAACAGAGAACTGAGAACGCCAATGACTAGTAAAATATGTGTATAATCAGTATAAATATTACCAATATCTAGTCATTTCAGTGTATTTATTATAGCTACATATACGTTTTATTTTCCAGCTCATTAGGAAAGTTGAAGATTTGAAAATACAAATTGATGTATTGCAAATGATGCTAACAACGAGGTCGATGTCACCACTGAATATGTCATTAAGCACCTTGGCGTCGCTGCGAAATTCGTGCAAGTAGAACTTTTGATTGACGAATTGAAAGACCTACATGTCCACGTCAATTTGTACAACATGGAACTTAAACTGGAATCTATGCCTGTAATTAAAAAGGTTACTGCTGTATCAACTATCCAAGGCGTGTTCAATACGAAGCCTGTCTCGAAAGCTTCACTTCCTGAGACGCATAAGCTGTTAATTATCTTGTCCACATATGCGATGTCATCTGCCAACTGCAGAAAGGACATTCAGTGTCATGAGACGTGTCAAGACCTGGCTCAGATCACGAATGTGTCCAGGGATGCTCACAAATTGCATGTTTGCAGCAATTCACAAGCAAAGAAATGACGACGTTAACGCAAAGAAGTTAACAGCAGTCTTTATTTCAAGGTCTTCTCAAAGGAAAGATTACTTTGGACAACCACATTAAACTATCTTACCGTCTTACGTAAAATGCACAGTGAGCACGAAATACTTTATGCATGAAAGACTACGTTCCTCAATATATAGTGGTAGTTTTTGTTTGAAATCAATAAAAGCTTTTCGTTTATATTAATTATCGAACTCTTCGTGTCTTCTTCGGTTAACTTGTGTCATAGGTTTTTAAGTGCCTTTTCATTTTTGTTTGTGCCCTTTTGTCAAAAATCTGCCCTTTTTAATAACAAATTGCACCCGTTGCCCTGAATAACTTCCGGCATCCCTGGCCAGAAATGGAAGACAGCCAGCGGACGGATCACGGTTTCAGATATTGCTTCGTGTACACCGCGTGTGCATATGCGTGGGTATCCATGAGAGCGTGTTTTTCAGTAAAGATGGCATCTGCGAAGCGCACTAGACAGCACAGGCTTTTATTGTGCTTTAAATGAGCAATCTACCAGCGAAGTTTATGAAAGTATGAAGAGAAAAATAGGAAAAAAGATTTTTACGAAGTTGAAAGGATTGTTTGCTCGAAAACGTCGCGAGGAAAGGTTAGTAAACTGCTTTAATATTGAATATTAATGCCGCACTTTATAATACATGTATTAGGAACTTTATATCAATGCCTAACTTTAATTATTTCTGTTGTTTTGCCACAGACATTCTATCTGTGCAAGTGGAAAGGGTATGGGCTGCTGACTGACACATGGGAGCCTGAAGAAAACCTGAATTTGGAAGCTTTACAGTACGTATGCAATTTATGCCTTAATTATACACAAAGTTGCTAAGGCTACAGTATAAATGGACATATAGCCAACGGTAGATCCTTCAACGGAATTATGACAGGAGCTACTTTGATAATGTAAGACTTCATAACAAACCACAACCTAGGAATGTGTCTAAAGTTTGTATTGTGTTTTTAGGTCATTCAATGAACCTGTTCTATCTGCAGAAGAAGTCAGGCAAGGAAGAGAAGCCATTGGGTTGGGGGATTGAATCACCTTCGGTCAAGGCATGGGAACTCTGATACTTCCCACAGAATTGAAATGCGACATGATGTGTTTCACTACCTTTTCAGGGGAAAAGGTAGAGAAAGTCAGCGAAAGGGTTGGTATGAGTTCGGGCAAGATGATTTTACAAGATGCCAACTACCACCATCATGGAACATTTGTGTTGATCGTCTTGGTGATGGGAAAAAAATTGTTTTTCCAGTCATGGCTAGACCGGTCCTTCACTGGGGGCCAAAATCATACGAAAAAAATGAGAATGGGCAACTGGAAATGTTGCCTCGTTATTATAGAGAGACAGTGCAACTATGTTTTAGCACAAGTGCTCACACACTTAATTAATTAACATTTTACATATAATTTTTTATAGCAAATCACTTGGGTAAGTTTTCACAAGCCTGAGATATAACAAACAAAACTGGTGTTTGCACGAAAAAAGGTGATAGGAAATGTATTCTATAATTTAGGCTGCCAAAAACTTACCCAAGTGATTTGTATGTTGACAGAAAATCACAGAAATATGCCCAATGCTGACAACATAGAACTTTGATACTGTATTTACAGTCAAACCTGATGTTCCCTTGCAAGCAACACTGCTATATTGTCCCACAATATTGCAATTTTGATAGGCAGATTGCTCTGAACAATTTGCAAACGATGAGAACAAATTGCAAGTTGAGATTCACAAAAGGTTTGTAAACAAAGCCTCTGATTGGACTATTAGCAGAAAGGAAGCCAATCAAATAGTCTGAGCAACTGGATTGGAGCTTCCCTTTTTCTTATAGTCCAATCAAAGGCTTTGTTTACAAATCTATTGTGAATTTCAATTTCAATTGTTTGCGTTGCTTGGAAATTGCTCAGGGCAATCTGCCTATGTTGTTCGCAAGAGAATGTCGTTCGCAAGAGAATGTTGCTCCTGTCCTATTTTGCTCGCAAGAGAACATCTGGTTTGACTGTAAAATATTAAAAAAGGCTCTATACTGCAAAGTTTGATCATTCAATAATTCTCTGGCTTCAGGGTGTTTGCTAATAAATATAGTTAAACTTTGCAGCAGTATTTTCCTATGCTGCACATAGATAATCTTGGTTGCAGTTTGCATTAAAAGATCAATATATTGTTAGTGCTTACAGTAACAACATTATTTCACAAAGCTTTCAATTTGTAAATCTGAATATTAATATGTGGAAACATTAAAATAGATATGCACTACAAACAAAATTAATTAAGCACCTTATAAGAAACTTAAGGTTAGAAATTAGAGGCTTCATTCTCACTTCTGTGAAGTTCATAACCATAATTAACCCATTAAGCGCCAGCATTCTCCCCTTGACTAGTAAAATCATCTGGCGTAAGACAGAGCACAACAATAAAGTAGCGTGCATCAGGGCGCAATGCGACTCAATGGGTTAATTAAACTGGTCTTCAGTCCTATTCCTTTTTTCCTGTCTACTTTCCAAACTTCCAGTCTCCCAGTACATTTTATTCACTTTCTCATATGTTCTCTTGCTACGCTCATGCTGACTAAGTTCCCTTTGCCTTGCCTCTGACCTTAAAACATCACGCGTACAATCCCACTTATTCGACTTCCGCATGACAGTGCTACGAGCCACATCGTTGTTTCTTTCAACACCCTGTCCTGTAAAGATTTTAATTGTCTTAAAGAGACTAAAAAAGTGGGGAATATGATACACCATTATATGCATGTAAGGTGTCACTCTTGCTCTGTTGTACCCTTTACGCTTGCCACTCAATGAGAGGAATAACTTGACCCAAGTCGTTGCTTGCTCAAAGTAGTTCTCGATATCTTCTGTAGTTGGGTCTTCTTTACTAATTATTTTGTAGAGCTCATTGAAATCTGACCAAAGTTTAATGACTGTGTCACAGGTTTCCTCTTGGATTGCCATTCTTAACTTGCCTGGTAACACATGCAACAAAATCTTCTTATCATTGCCAAGCAAGCTTGTACAATCATACTTCCCAGAACTTTTCCCATCAGCATTCTTTTTCTGCCAAATGTTAAAACTTACACCACATGACCTTACAGTGTTAATCAGTGTACTAAGGTGAATTCCTCTTTCTTCATTTCTCTTCTTACTCATATCCTCTGTCTTATCCCATTCTAAAACATCTTCTATCAGGTTATCCATTAAAACATCTGCCACTCTCAACATCAAATGCAACTCATCTAGAACGATATGATCCAGATCAATTTCCACCAACGGCCGCCTGACACAACAATAATTATTTTTCGACTTACTCGCCATTTCCTTAATCTCTTTCATAGTCCGCCTTAAAGGTCCTTCATTGAAATGACGGAGGTCATGCGACATGTTCCATCGATCATCCTTACGAACCTTGCACCAAATGCAAGATGGTTACAAGTAGCATTTTGTAACCCTAACACCATCAGGATAAACTTATAATCTCCACCAAAAAAACAATTCAAGGTTGATAATTTTCTCACCTACTCTAATATGTGTCTCCCTGTTTAGTGTGTTTATTCTATTGAATATATTGCCAAATGCTTCCTTCAGTACCTCATAGTTTTCCGATGCTTTCACAACAGCTAAACTATGATTACCCCTAGCTGACATAGGATTATTCTTCTTGCTGTCTAGCACTGCAAGCGTTAAAAAAACAAAGTTTGTGTTTCTGGTCATTTGCGTCCCATCACCTGAAAACTTGATTTTCACAGAATTGTTTGTGAAGTCGAAATCTGGATTCTCGCATATAAAATGCTCTAGACATTTCATTAAAGTATCTTCAAAATCAATTTGGCATCATCCATCAAAGTCTCCAGGTAACCTGGAAATTGAACATATCTTGTTCAATTGATCACACCTTTGTTTAATTAAATATGATCGTGGCAATGTGCCATCCAGCATTGTTATCTCATGGTAAAACTCATCACTTACATAAAACTTGTCGGGGAGGAACAAAATTTCTTCAACTTTTTCCTTATCATGCTGTGAAAGTGCATCAAATCCATGTTGCTTTTCTCTTTTGAGGTCTTCAGGCGTGTCTCCTCCTGTAGATGTGCTGCTCGACACCGCAAATGAAACGGCATGCTCTATTCCAGTTGTCTTCTCTTTTACATTAATGCTGGATACATCCAGCCCAAAAGATTCTGCAACCAAAGAGTTGTCTTTGCCCGAGAGAGGAAACACTTTAATGTTCTACTCTTTTTCTTCACTGCCGATATACTCTTCCCTCGGTAAGCAATTCCTTCCGACTTCGTTAAGCAGTCAATGTAAGATTTCAGCTCTTCGTTAGCACTACTTAGCTCATCAATAACTTCATCTTTTTTGTCTAAGTCCTTTTTCATTTCATCAA